TATGTATGTATGTATATATATGTGTGTGTGTGTATATAATAACATGTACGTTTATCATTTTGAAGATGTATGCGAGCAGTTAAATTGTCAAAATGGTGCCACGTGTGCTAATAATAGATGCGAATGCCCTTTTGGTTTTATTGGACTTGCATGTGAATTTGGTGAGCTATTTGTTGTTGTATTGTTTAACGTTATTCTCAGCGCTTTGTACATGTGCTGTAATAATTTGTTTAGGTTGGTTCTAAAGTGACACCATGTTGATGGCAATAGTTACAAATTTGGTAGTCGCTGTAGTTTACCCAATCTTTACACCAGTCACCAGAATTCCTAATTCAGAATGGATGTTAATTTTTCTAATTCGATTCATACATTATACAACATCCAATCAGAAGGCTGGTATAACAATAGCCACTGCCTACTTTCAATACTCCTTGGCACACCAGTGCATAACCTCAGGGTTATAAGCACTGTGTTCTTTTTGTGTTTCCCGAAATTAATAAATAAAATAAGCGCTATAGTATTGTTTAATTCACCTGGTGTAACGCTGATTTTATTGATTACTTATTATTGTTTATTTACTTTAGATGTATGCGGAAATCTGAACTGTGGAAATGGGGCTACGTGTGAGCAGCGCGGCGAAGGTGCATTCGGTTGTGTATGTCCGATAGGCTTCATCGGTCCTGATTGTTCAGTCGGTAAGACGGTATACCCAATTTCACCATTGCTTAAAAGATTTGCTTAAATCTCATGCTTCTTAAGCAGAATATACCTAATCAGCTACATTATAGATGAGACTATGCCGTCTCGTAATTTTAACTGCGCATGACTATGTAATACTAAGTAATAAACATAAAATTTAATAATGTTATAGTAGCTCTAACAATACTTTAATAAATAGTTTGTTTGAGTGCTTATTTATTATTTGCTGATGCATTCGACATTGTCATACGCAGTTGAAGTGACGAGCGTATTTATTTGGGGATTTTTTTTTTACGGTTTGAGGTGAAAACACCACACACACAACAAGACAATCTGTCGGTTTTATACGCCACACTTGATTACCCATCTTAGACATCAATACATGTATTTATTTTTTGCTTGTTTACTAATAATCAATTTTAAATGAGGTGAAGTTTTTCGTGGTCTTTATTTTTTCTCTCATTCTCAAAAAAGCATAGGCCTATTGGGAAATGTCACTCCACCTCGTTAAAGAGGTAAAAAATTAACTCTTGACATTAAATATGCTGTCTGTGTTGAGATAATAAAAAAAAGCAATAAAAATAATTATTTTGAATATCATACGTTTTATATTGGCTTTTAATTGAATATTAGAAAATATTTCTGCCAGACATAAGAATAATACCAATATTCTCTGTACACTTCATTGGTTGGCAGTCAATTTAGGAAGTGTCTAAGTAATAAGTCTGCATTTCACCAAATCTGGAAACTTACTGAGCAAAAATTGTTTGCTCAATTACTTGATAATCACCTCATATCGTCTTTTTTGTTTTGGCTGGATAACACTCTTCACTTTCATCATCGAGCCCCACCCCACTTAATCTTTTCCCTATCATCCCCATGTTAATGATCCTAGATAGGACAGCTGTATTTTTGTACCTGATTGAGCGTAATGTAATGTTTACGAGTTTAACCGATTTCAACACAGACAATATAGGCCTATTATTAACATTCTGGGAATGCATGCTTATGTAGATACTTGCACTGAGTCATCTCTGTGGTGATAGTTCTATTTCTTAACCCTTTCACTATTTGCTGAATGCACGACAGATGTTTGTCAAGTACTTAATTGTGAGAATGGTGGCGTCTGTGTATCTGATGAGAATGGTATAATGGAGTGCCAGTGTCCTACTGGTTACACTGGTGGAACGTGTTCTATGAGTAAGTAGATAGAAATGGTTGAACGTATGCTAACGTTTCATGAAAGGCAGAGTTAATGCTTTTATAAAATTCAATCACCGTCATTGAACAGGACCATCATATTTACGTTATAGAATTTATATAATGGACCTTCATGCTAAGCCCCCGTTCATTGATCTTTCTTAAAAGGGCCCACAAAGAATAGCGTTAACGTACGTAAACATAGGCGTTTATGGAATGGGTTTGTGGGACTTGCGCTTCCTTGCCCTGCTGTGATTGACCAGTTGTTGATGTTTGACTGACACTCCGGAAAAGTCCATAATGCGCATACATTGTGGTTGTCTAGACAGTTTTTGCCGAACGTATCATACGCATACGCATGTGTCTTTTACATACATTTGCCTATATTTAGATGCTTAAACTTGGCTCGACAGAATATTAGTTGAAGACAAAAGTCGTTTTAAGGGTCCATTCATTATTTTCAACTACCTTATGTACAAAATATGGTTGTGCATATATCTGAATATATCCGAATCTGAATCTATGTTTATTGCACATAATCATTTTCTTTGTGGTACTGTAATCCAACAACAAAGTATAAACGAAAACGAATTATTTTGTCCGAAACTGCAATTCGCATTGACATTGAGTTAACAAATGATTATTTAATCCGAAACAACAATATTATTTTAATTTTATATTTTATTGATTTTTTAGATGTCTGCAGTGGATTCTATTGTGAAAATGGCAATTGTAGTGTAGATGGCTCTGGTAACCCGTCTTGCACCTGCCTCCCGGGTTACAGTAGTTTTGGATGCACAGACAGTAAGTCTGTCGTTTAGTCCTTATCTATATGCTTTGCTATTCATATATACAAAGAGGGCCGGGGCCGCCCCCACTAAATCCGCCCTGGATGACTTCAATTAGGCTATGAGCCTAAATGTATACGTTAACCTATCGTGTGGATATACCTTTTGAAACACAAAGCTTTGAGTCACGCAATGCAATATATTTTTTTTTATCTTTAAAGATGTCTGCGATGATTTCGTTTGTAATAACAATGGTTCTTGCGTCATTGACAGAGACGGGAACCCGAAATGCAAAGATGGTGAGTATTAGCAGAGATACTAGAAACACAAGATGAAACTCTCTCAAAGCAAGCATGAATCGGATTCACGCTATAGCTTTTACGCTCCCCCGTGTACCCGTTGACTCATTTGAAACTTCTTACTGTACGTTCAGTTACCTACCATGTATTTCGGTTTTTATTTTCTGTGGCGATTTTTTTTTTGTGTTTCTAGTATCTTTGGTATTTATAGCTTAGGCCTACATTGTGCGGTTCCCGTTGACTCAATGATTTTCATCCCCCCTGTTTTTTGAAAACGCATTATGGGAGCCATTAACCTAAATGGCATAGCCTATATTTCAAAACTTCCTCAAGAACATTACTTGTTGACATTACTTGTTGACCACACACTATAATTTGTCTTATTCATTTATTCGTTAATTGTGTTATTGGTAGGAAATATGCACAGTTCGACCTCCAATTAGAGACCACTTTTGAGACCTGAAAATATGGGGTGGATTTGGGGTTCGTTCTCCAATTATAGGGTCAGCTATGTGTTAAAAGATTGAAGATTCTTGGTTCATTGTAAAGACATAGGCGTTTATGGAATGGGTTTGTGGGACTTGCGCTTCCTTGCCCTGCTGTGATTGACCAGTTGTTGATGTTTGACTGACACTCCGGAAAAGTCCATAATGCGCATACATTGTGGTTGTCTAGACAGTTTTTGCCGAACGTATCATACGCATACGCATGTGTCTTTTACATACATTTGCCTATATTTAGATGCTTAAACTTGGCTCGACAGAATATTAGTTGAAGACAAAAGTCGTTTTAAGGGTCCATTCATTATTTTCAACTACCTTATGTACAAAATATGGTTGTGCATATATCTGAATATATCCGAATCTGAATCTATGTTTATTGCACATAATCATTTTCTTTGTGGTACTGTAATCCAACAACAAAGTATAAACGAAAACGAATTAATTTGTTCGAAACTATAATTCGCATTGACATTGAGTTAACAAATGATTATTAATGATCCGAAACAACAATATTATTTTAATTTTATATTTTATTGATTTTTTAGATGTCTGCAGTGGATTCTATTGTGAAAATGGCAATTGTAGTGTAGATGGCTCTGGTAACCCGTCTTGCACCTGCCTCCCGGGTTACAGTGGTGTTGGATGCACAAACAGTAAGTCTGTCGTTAAGTCCTTATCTATGCTTATACAAAGAGGGCCGGGGCCGCCCCCCCCCCCCCACTAAATCCGCCCTGGAAGACTTCAATTAGGCTAGCCTAAATGGATACGTTAACCTATCGTGTGGATATACCTTTTGAAACACAAAGTTTGAGTCACGCAATGCAATATATTTTTTTTTTATCTTTAAAGATGTCTGCGATGATTTCGTTTGTAATAACAATGGTTCTTGCGTCATTGACAGAGACGGGAACCCGAAATGCAAAGATGGTGAGTATTAGCAGAGATACTAGAAACACAAGATGAAACTCTCTCAAAGCAAGCATGAATCGGATTCACGCTATAGCTTTTACGCTTCCCCGTGTACCCGTTGACTCATTTGAAACTTCTTACTGTACGTTCAGTTACCTACCATGTATTTCGGTTTTTATTTTCTGTGGCGATTTTTTTCTTGTGTTTCTAGTATCTTTGGTATTTATAGCTTAGGCCTACATTGTGCGGTTCCCGTTGACTCAATGATTTTCATCCCCCCTGTTTTTTGAAAACGCATTATGGGAACCATTAACCTAAATGGCATAGCCTATATTTCAAAACTTCCTCAAGAACATTACTTGTTGACATTACTTGTTGACCACACACTATAATTTGTCTTATTCATTTATTCGTTAATTGTGTTATTGGTAGGATATATACACAGTTCGACCTCCAATTAGAGACCACTTTTGAGACCTGAAAATATGGGGTGGATTTGGGGTTCGTTCTCCAATTATAGGGTTAGCTATGTGTTAAAAGATTGAAGATTCTTGGTTCATTGTAAAGCGGTCTCGAGTTAGGGGCTTTGAATATTGGCGGGTGCACTTATTTGGTTTTCTTTTGTGCAGACGAATGTGACGAATATTCCTGTGGTCCTGGAGTATGTGCTATCAACGAATTTGGTAACGCCACCTGTATATGCCCTTTGGGTGTGTCCGGAAAATATTGCGAAAGGAGTAAGTCTAAATGAAATCAATAAAACGAACTAACACACGTGTATTTACATATACCAACACTAAGTATCCTGAATACAAATACACAATAATCACATTAGTATACATATTAACTGTATTCTAATTTGTTTCATATCTATACCTGCATCTGTGTATGTGTATCACATACGAATAAGATGTCAATTCAGTTCTATACAATCTACATAAAGCAATATAGGCCTATTGTGCAATCATATTAATTCTCTTTCGATACTTATGTAGATACTATATCAAATCTACAATAATAAAGAATATAGGAGACGAATACTAGTAGCATGTATGATCTTTAAGGCCAACTCAGACAGCGTCGTACGACGCTGTCCGACACGATTTGTTGTCGCGTAGTGTCTGTGTAAATTTTTGCGTCGGGGGCAGTGACGTCGTAGAATATTAATAAACATGTTTAATATTTACTGCGACGGCCTAAGACTGTCCTCGACGATGAGTCGCGTCGGACTGCGTCGTACAACACTGTCTGAGTTTGTCTTCAGAAACACTTTATTGGAAAAACCAATATTTTGACCTCCTTAGGTCTTTATCAAGGTACAATACATATTCATATTTTAGGCCTAATAGTTTACAGTTTGTCTGACATTTTTCATTTTTATTAGATGCTTGTGAGAATTATTGTGCCGTCGGAAACTGTAGCATAAACAGCGTAGGAAATGCGGTGTGCCTCTGCCCACCTGGCTATAATGGTAATACCTGCGGAAATAGTGAGTAACAGCTTATATTCTACTTTTATATAAGAAGGCTTTACTTAGCAAACTTACACAAATAAGAATACATTACATTAATATTATTTTTGATATCATCCCTATAAACATTCTCTAGCACTGCAAACAAATAGGTCAGTCGCATATAACGCGTTACAATTTTAATATAGCGTAATAAAAACTTAAAAAACTAAAAATTCTTTCACCGTATTTTCTTTGTCATAACTATATTTAAAAAAAATCTTTTTAACTTAATATAAATGTTAGTAAAACTTTTCTGATTATTAGGAATATTATGTTGTTATTATCGTCATCGTCATTATCACTGTTGTCATCATCAACAACGTCATTATCACATCCTCATCGTCAACATCATCCATATAAATGGAACGATTAATTAATTGATCATCATAATATAATTATGCTTATTTATATCATTATCAGGTTGTTATTATTATCATTATTAATATTTGTTTATTAATATGGCTATTCACATTGTAAACAATATTGTTATTAATATTAATATTAGGTATCTGTGACAACTTTTACTGCCTCATTGGTGTATGTAGGGTCAACGTGTACGGTAACCCAGAGTGCGTTTGTCCACCAGGATACAGTGGGCCTACCTGTTCAACTCGTAAGTCAACAGTTATTCAATTTAGTGGTTAAAGTAAAGACTTTACATTCATGCATAAGTACATTCTCTCAGCGCTTTACGACAATGTACAAATAGATGCATATTTGATCAAAGTTATTAGTTATCTATTTGTTTATATATATGTATATAGGCCCTGTATATCTAATCATTCTAAAGCCTGGTTTCACTGCAATCATAATTCATAATTTATAATTTCATTTTCCTCACACGAGATGTTGGCTAACAAATGGAAATCTTCCCTGCTGTACATGCGTCAGCTACCATAGCATTCACTGTTTAACAAGATGCAAACACATTGTAGAAAAGCGTAATAACAATAATAAAAATAATAATAATAATAATAATAATAATAATAATAACAACAATAACATCATAATAAAAGTAGTGTATTATTATTATTATTATTATTATTATTATTATTATTATTATTATTATTATTATTATTATTATTATTATTATTACTATTATTACTATTACTATTATTACTATTACTATTATTACTATTACTATTACTATTACTATTACTATTACTATTAC